GACTCATTTTTCATACACAAGCGTTAATGGATCGGGAAAGGGAATGAGAAACCAAAAGGTTTGATTTCTGTTACAGATTTATTGAAGTAAAACTAGTATTGATAAGTCGCGGAGAAACGGAAAACGATAAGTCCGCTAGAAACGATAATCTACCAGGTTTGTTTGGGAAGGACGCAAAATCCCTTATTAGAGAAGCGAAGCCTTGGTTCAATTTTAGTTGATCAGTTTATTCGTCATTATGTTCTCAAAGTTCGGAAAAGGTTGGTTACATTTTCACTAAAACACTAAACGATTTTATATTTACTGACACTGAAGGCAAATTACCTACTATTTTATCAAGTGAAGTTTAAAAGGAAAACTTGTGGTATCCGGTTAGGTATAGCTAGTGTACACATGACTGGCACACAGGTTGTTTCTAAACGGTTAACCTTCGTAAGGTTTCAGAGTTGTTATCGTGGATGACCCGAATAGTTTTTTGTTCTGACTGCGGCATCGCTTTCTCAGCCAACGTTGTAGGGTACTTCGAACGACCGGTGATTCTTTCAGTGATGATCAGTTTACACTTCCCATCAGACCTATTAGCCTCCTAGAACGTAACAGAACCAACACCAACTTAAAATGACAGCCTATTCATTCTGGTTGTGTACCCATGTTCCTTCAGTCTACAAACTCATTCTTTCATCAATTTGAAATTTGCAGTTGAAGCCTTGCTATATGGCTCAGAACGATATCCCCCTATTGTTTTCCAATCCAGGGAGATCAGGGCGTTATCTACTCCAGACAGGACTTTCTATGACAGCTGGTCATCTTTAGAATACTGGTGCATTTAGATACCAAATCATCAGCTGTCACCGTAGTGTACGTTTTGAACTGAGAAACGCACTGTGAACTCAAAAATTCCGCTGATCGAGAAATATCCCTCGCCGTCACCTGCTGTTTTTCCTTGATAAAATTGAATGAAGATCAAATGAGTATGGTTCAAGAAAATCAGTCCATCTGGCTGTAACTCATTGTCCGTTGAGAATTGTGAGTATAGACTGGGATGGCTTGATGATTTTGTGTTTACTTTTGCTTTTTGAAGAGTTTATAGATTTTGTGCAACAGGTTTCGCTAAATTTTGCGCTGTTCAGTTAGTGCAATTCACTGTCGCATTACTTTGTATACCATGCTTTCGCTCCCCATATCCGTAGCCGCCCAGTTTTTCACATTTTCGTAACACTGCTTCCATTGATTTCTACCCATTACATAAATGCTACTGGTATAACTGTATATGTAGAAGGGTAACTAAATTAATTTCTTTTTAAAAAAGGGTAAGTAGCACTTATGCTCTTTCAATTTTTGGTTCGGACTCTTATCCAACGGAGAGTGAAAAAATCCTTGAAGCTCGAAATGAAAAGTTTTAAAATTCATTGCAATTGACACAATGGAACACATCATGTTAATAAAATTAAATATGTATTCTATGTCCCATAAAAAAATAGAGGGAGAGATTTTGGGTTAAAATACCAAGCATAAAATGTCGAACAATAATTTATCTCTCATATTCTCACTTCAAAAAAGAGAGCTGATGGATCTCAGTGCAACTTGTGCGGGACCTTTTCAATCATCGGCGAAGGCAATGTTGACTACGACTGAGTGAATAGTCTGGTAAAAAAGATTAAAGTGCTTTGAACATCATCAACAAGCTCGTTTTACTGTCACTTGTTTTATTTTGTTCTCCCTTTTATTAGAAAATGAGGCCGAAATCTGACAAAATGATTAACACTTCAGCTTTACAGCTTGCCTTTTTTAAACCCCTGTAGAATGGACTCAGAAAATCAGTGTTCATAAACACCACTAAGATAAAAATCCATTCGAAAGGGCATAAATGATGCTGTCGACATGCATGACAGTTATGTCTTCATTGTGTCTAAAGCACACTTGATAGATTGCACCATCGATTGAAACAACCCCTGTTTACGGTGCATTGTGCCTCCCTGTGGTTTGTTGAAGTGGTAAATGGACCGTTCGTCCAATCACAATGGGAACTCTGTTTCCTACACACAACCAAGGCATCACATCTAGGTAAATGGGCCGTGTCAAACCCGTAGGGTGACAGGCTGACTAGGATGGAAGATATTGTGTGTAAACAGACATTGCAATTGGGAATAATTTTCACCCAAGTCACTCCCTACATTGAATCATTTGTGAGAGGTAGTAGGTGCATTTGTGCAGGAACAATTTTGGGATATTATTTGTTCTAGTGGAGGCCCAGTTCAACTTATGCAATCTTTCTCCGGATATAGCAGGCAGGTTGCTGGATGTTTAATGTATCCAAATTATTCCAGTGGATTAATTAATCATTGTTTTGTGTTGTTTGATTTACCCTGAACATCATTTTTGGTTTTGTTCAAAGTACGTTAGACGTAGTGCGTCAAACGACTTACTATGTGGTAGTTACCAAATCCCCCAGCTAGTGTAGTTAATAGGAGAACATCACCCCTCAAATACAAAACATGTTTCCAAATGTGACACAATAAACTGAACGAACGAAGGAACGCTCTGCTTGCCAGTAACTAATATGCAGAATATCTTCGCGAACATAACAGTGTAGTCTGCTTTTTTAAGTTTTAATACGTCCTGAGTTGTTTACAGTTTTGCTATCGAATCCGTGCCGGACGAAATCAGATGCAAGGTGAAAGAAGCAAGTGTAATCAGTAAATTTTTCAGTTTGGAATTTCTTTTCATTGATAATTAACTGAGTGTAAATTCGATAAACGGATTGGAAAATGTGAAATTCGCTGATGAAAACCGACCTTTCGGAAAGCCATACACATTTGTCACGTCTGTGTCACATGTGACCTTCAACGGAGGTCCTTCTGAGCTACATTTGTACCACCGTTGTTATGTTCTTCGCTTGGCTGTCTCCTACTTTGTCCTCTTTGAAAGAAAAATATTTTAAAGGCAATCCAGAAGCCGAAAGGCGAAAGAGATTAGGTTAAAGTGAAATAAACCAGTTTCATTTGTTCACAGCAAAATATTTGTTGGGATTCTCCTTTTTTGAACGAAAAAGAATTATCTGATTTCTTCCTGAGAGCAAAACGTCCGAAAAACATAGCATTAGTGAATTTCCCCCAATTTAGTTTAATCCTTTATCAGTTTTCATTTGTAATTTGTTATTCTTATTACTCTTTTATCATCCCTATCTTTCTCGTTCTCTGAAACAGCCCATGCGTAGTTCACAAAGCATGGAAGCAATCGATGCCACAGGACCACCCCAGTTCATACAACATCCGATTCCACAGAGCACGGTGAATGAGGGTGAACCGTTGAGCATCAATGCTCGTGTGCGCCCAGCTGGAGACAGCAGTCTTCGTGTGGAATGGTACAAAAATGGGAAACCATTAGCGGCGTGTGAGTTTATTGGAAATTTTCAATTGGTGTGCATGAGGAACACTTGACTGTGATGATCACGTGAGTTGAGCGGAAGCTCGACGGTCTGTTTATCAGGCTATCTGAGTCGAGGTCTTAGATATCACTGAGCTGCCATTTGAATGGTGGACATGGTTAATTAGCTGTATTGATTGGGCACGGTTTAAATGTTGTTGCCTATGCGAACCGACAAGTGTTTCACAGGGACTCGTTGCTTCAATTTCGATTAGACCTGTATATTCCAAGGTGCAAACACCGCTATACTGAGTCTTATCATTATCACTATTTTCAAGAAAGGCATTCACGACTTGTAACACCACGGAATACGTTTGATACCGATCACCGCCACAAAATATAGCTTCTGAAATAGTTAGCTATCTGATAACTATTCACGAAGTTTCGGGCCACACCATCGATCTGTTGATCTGGCTTTAAACTTGGTCACCTGAGCTCGAGCCGCATCACATATTGTGGATCGGGATAATCAGGTCTGACATGATAATTCCATTCGGTATAGTGTGATGATTCACTTTGTTGGCTATTTCATGATTAAATGCTTCAGACTTATATTATCCCTCTGGATTCAATAAACCCGCACAAGTGTAGAAAAGAAGTGAGCCGTGGTAAGCTAGGTCATTCGTGTAAAAACATTTGAGGCTGTGTCCTTCAAGGGTGCCCTACGTTTACATTTCTGTTCAGTCATATAACAGATTAAACATTGGAGGTTATGTTGCTGGATTTCCTAATTTTCCATAAAGTAAAGTGTGCGTTTTGTGTTACACTGACGACATTAGTAGAATGTCGGGAGCATGCGCAAACTACATTAGACATACCGACCCCGAAGTTTATAATGGAGTTAGAACAAGGTCAAATTTATTGTATTACAGCACAGTCAGATCCTCATTCAAGTCCTTTCTTAATAATATTTCCCCATAAGACAATCATAATGATGCGGCAGAGTACATTGACCGGGCGAAATGATAGCTGAATCTAAATTAGTCATGTTTGGAATGTTCCAAACCGGATCGTAACCCCGTAGGCTTGTGCTGAGAAGAGCAAGGTACGATGCCCACAAGAAGCTCATAATAATGGATTGCGCTATATTGTGTACAGAAAGAAAGAAAACCACTCTGATCGGCTCTCCAGCGGTCTAGAGAACAGTATATTTTCGTTCTATTCGTGATGTCCTAGGTTCGATCCCCAGTTTAGTCGATGGACTCACACTGCTGATGAGACGCAATCAGGCCGAAACAGTTGTCCGGTGCTTTTCAATTCAGTTATTTCCTCTGTACACAATAAAATCCACGACACAACCTTTGCTAAAGGATGTAATATTTACTGGAGACCCAGACTTCATTTATGTGTCTCCTCATAGAGCACTTTTACCGTTAAGTCATTTGCTGGGCATATAAATCAATAAGGAATAAACTAAATGTAATAACCGGTCAATTTTATTTGAAATCGATAATCAAGAAGTACAGTGTAAATTAAACTCCATTTTTTCTGACAATCAAAATTTTTGTTGTCTTTTATCAGCTTCACGCTTCACAACCACATTCGATCGAGGCTACGCAGTGCTGGATTTCCTCTACACGAACGAGGATGATACCGGTGACTATTCGTGCGTGGCTACTAACAGTCAAGGTCAAGATCAATCGTCCGGTTGCCGTATCACGTGAGTTCAAAATTGGAATATGTTAGGTGCGTGCATATTCAGACTTGCAGGAATATGAAACTGTCCTGAACAACATCGGCAAATAGGATAGAGTTATTATTTGAATTAGGATAAAAAATATCATTTAAAATCTAGCCACGTCAATTCTTCCGAATAAACTAAATCGCAGATCTTTCCAAACATGAACGATTGAAGAGCGTTTCAAATACTTTCCAGAACGTTAGAACAAAACGCGTTCGAAGAAAACACATATTAGTGAAAAAACTTGTTTGATTTCGAATAATATTAAGTTTAAATGTTGCCTGAAATGTTATGCTACTATCGTCGATGCGATCTATAAAGTAAAGTTTGTACACCTAGAGATAAAATAACTCGGATAAAGTAAACCGACCTCAATAAATCGTTTCATAACTGAGATAATGCATCTTGTGATGGTGGCAACTGGCAGCAACATTTTAGTTAACCGGAAAAGAAAATACCTTTTACCGGACCATGGTCATTTTCAAAACCATTGACAAATGTCATTGAATCCATAAAACTGCGTCAATAGTCACATTGTGAACTTTGCTTCATGAATCCTTCGCGTTCCACTTGGAACGATGCATATTAGGTACAACTTCGGAACCACTGCAATTTTTTTCCTAAAAGCCTGTTTCGCTCCTATGCAAATGATGGTACAAGAGAAAGGAGAACATTGCAGTGAGAGATAAAGTGTGGAATCAATACTCTTTTCAATGACTATATGCACCCACAAAAATGGAAACTGGTATATGCCTCTGTAGTAAGAGTAATATCCCATGAGTTTGATCAACACCTATATGTGATAGTTGGAATGGAGTGGGTGAGCAAGTTTCTCTGCAACCAAAGAAAAAATATCTGGGGGGGGTCATTTAAAATGCAAACCTGTGGTAATTAGGTAACTATCTTGTACTTACGTACTAATGAGCAATATATCATTCATGTTAAATCATATTCCGCCATATATCTTGAAATTTTCTGCGGGACATATAAGTTTCTCTGGAAAATAAGTCCAATATCTTATATGTAATTGTCGGGACTCATAGACATCTCGTGGGTCTAAGCGAAAGCAAATGCAGGCGATCCTCACCACGTTCATAATACCGCTAAATATGATGGGTTGGGAGTCAAAACCCTTGCCCTTAGGGTTCATGATCAACGGTCAACAACTTTGGAGAAACAATTCAGAGTAAGAAGTTTCGTTCAGTCTATTCGACTATTTACCGGCACTAGACTGCGTTAGGGGTCTTCAGGTTTACGCCTGAAGAGTTCGATATTGCTTCAAGCTCAATACAAATTATTTGAGATGGAAATTTGTGATAACAGACAAAAAGCACTGGATAGACTGTTCCATCCTTGTTGGGGTACGTCATGCTTCTGTCCCAGCCCACACTCAAACCGCGACACCTCAGTTCCAAGATCTGGAACACCAGGTGGGCTCTTGTGAACACAACGAATAAAAATGTCATGCTTGATAGATACGTGAAAATGATACAGATTCCTTGTTACTACGAAAAGCTGTGGTAAACTGTTTCGATGTCATGCCAGATCATACCCATTGTATTACCATGATACAGGAAACTCGAGAAAACGACCTGTTAGAGCAGCAAGCAATTACTGGTGGCCGCATGTAGTTTGAAGTACGCATGAGAAACTATGGCAAGTGTTGAAGACGAATAGATTGAAGTTTAAGTTTTCAACAGACATACTTATCCATGAGCTTGTCTCTCACATATCCTCCAAAATGCACAGTGTTATTCCAGAAGAAGGTGTTGTCACTGAGACACAACTACCAGAAGAATCCATGGTTGCGAGTCTGGCTGCAATGGAAAACCAGATGATGCAAAACGGTATGGATCGTGGGCCGCGTTACCGGGACGAGGGTCGACCAACTCGTCCGCCCACATTTTTGAAACCACTCAATCCGCAAACCGGCATTCGTGAGGCGGCTCCAGCACATTTCGAGACTCTGATCGAACCGGCCAATGATGCCACCCTTACCGTGGAATGGTACAAAGATGGAAAACCAGTGAGCATGGGTGAGTTCATACGGATGCATGTAACATGATGTTTCTGCGCGTGCTCGAATGTCGAGTTGAAGGGCAGTAATCTGTTACAGGTTAGAAATCAGGAACTTTATTTACCCTGTTAGATGCCTTTTCAAATCTTCTTTGAGTATATTGCTTTGCCTTCGTACGTTTTGTAATCAGGGCAGTAACTTCGCCTCAAATGCATTTTCCTTCGTATAGTCAAAATGTTTCGGTCGGGCGTTCACGTTTGGTGGTAATCAACCGCTAGGCAAACGTTTACACTGTAAATGGTACGCTAAAAAGTTAATTGATATATTTACCTGCTGCTCAATCCAGCTATACTTTTACATAATCAATCAAACGTATGCTTCAATAAGGTTTTAACGTTCGACATTATAGCTGTAGATATAATCTGAACGAATATTCATATAGGTGTTTCACGAAATGAATACTTTTATCTCATGTTTTGCACGAAAGAGACAGTGGAAATACGAAAGGTTTATATCGTCAAGGTTTATCATAAATATCTTCAATTACTTGCTCAAATGATTTGAAACTGTTTTCTCTTATGATAAACATTCCAAATTACTATTTAATCCGGCCGAAGTCTCTTTATGAACAACTTGAAGCTTGAACGCAAATGCCAGCAAAGTGGAACGAGGAAAATCGTCGCTCTGGTTACAATAGTTTTTCCCCCAGAATTCTAATCTCAAGTCGTTCGTGTTCATCCTTAAAAAACGTGTTCGATTCAGTTCACACAATCTCCCCATTCGATCGGAGATGCCACTCCCAAAATGCTTATTCATCCCCGGACTATTTTCGGGTTCTGGTCGATTGGGTTGTTCACACGTGACTGATGCCTACAAACAGCTGTTGTTATGTCTGTATTGTCCATAGGAGTGGTAACGGACCGGAAGCCCCAGGGCCCCATAGGGATAGGGGGATAGAACGTGTGCATACACCCCAAACCGGGGCACAGTCAGCTGTTAAGAGGAGACAGATTACAATCTGTTGGTTGCCTTCTTGCCTAGCAGTCAGGTGCAAATCAAGTCACTTTCGTGTTCGATGCATCTTTTGTCAGTCAAAGAAATGAACATTGGTCCGCCTCCCGAACGAACGGGTCACACGTAGTAAGTGTTTGTTGAACTGCAGCCACCTGCTAGTCGATGTTCGCAAATTGAGTGTAGCATATCATAGTTGTGCTAGCATATCTGTTTCCTGAGACTGATCGTTCATCGCATATCATCTTTTCGCTCACAATCGTATCCTCACAGATAAATTCCCCTTGGACTAGTTCTGCCATCGGTTTGGATAATTTTCCGTGATTTACCCAACTTGTAACCCCTCACTCAACCTGTCAGATCACTGATTCGTAATATTTATGCTGCGCTGGTTGGTAATTGTTGCCGTTAACCGTTGGTGCGGATTTCCCTGCTGGATATAATAACCACCTATCAAACATGCGAATGACTCGAGGCCAGCTGTAATCTGTAAACAAATACAGTATTTAGATTAGAACAAGCTGTAGATAACCTGTTATTGAGCAGACTGCTTTCTGACGGTTTTCACGATATCGTTCCGATTGTAGCTAAAACGTAATCTAAGTTTCTTCTCGATTTATTGCAATAAAATGTGGGCGTTAGATTAGTGAACACTAATTTATCGCACTACGTGGAATACATTTACCTTAGGGGTTATATGCAATGACCTATTAACATGAAAGGCAATCGTTCACGGTCAACGACCATCTAACAGGACTTTGCAACCTACCCTTTCAGGATGTCGTTTCAATGCGATCTTGGATCGTGGTTTTGCCATTTTGGATATCCTCTATTGTTACCCGGAGGATAATGGAGCTTACTGGTGTGTCGCCAAGAACGCTTTGGGTCAGGTTCAGAGTAACGTAGTAGATTTACAGTAAGTGACAAATCGTTTTCTGTGACCACGTTTACATCGGTGTCGGAATGTAACTTTTTCATTGAAATGCTATAAAACTGAATAATTGTGATTGAAATCATAAATAATATTGTCTTGTTTTTTCACGGGAAAATGAGTCGCGTTTCTTGCAGTATACGATGTTTTATGGTATATGAACTAGTTTATCGTGGATTTGTCAAGTAATAGCAAGAAGACATACATCTTATCACAACACAAATTTCCCTTCTACTTTCCTATTTTCTCTTAGATCAACTTCTGTTGTTTCGGTAAACATTTGATCAAGTATCGAATGGCTACCGCATTATTGTAAACGTCACCGAAGTTTTAGGAACAGTGAATGCGCATGTTCCGCGATGTTTTTGATTTGAGCATTGGGTAGAATGTTCACCACGCATTAATGTTAAGATTGCCCGAAGGCAATCAGTTGTCAATCAGAACTGCTGGTTGATAGTTATACACGAGTTATTTGTACCGAAATTGCAGACGACGCATATTCGCCATTATGGTGAGGTTCAAATATATTTTCCTCATTTGGTTAGTACATTGAAAATAGTTGATCATTAGGTGTTGCAGATATCTTGATTTTTCGAATCCAAACTAAATCAATAAACAATTTCACCATCCTACACTTATGTTTCATTGATCTTGCAACCTCGTACCTAAAGTTCTAACCAGTGCAATATTTTTGTCAGATTTGTTCAATATAACTTTAGTTTCTGCTCGATTGGTTCATTTCAGATGCGTTGGTGAAGCCAATATTGTGACCAGTTCCGTATTGTCAAAAGAATCGGTTTCGTACCTGCAAAGCTTGGATAATTGGAGCAGTGATCAGATGGCTGGGTAAGCACTTAGGTTCATCTATCTGTTATCATGTTTGTTCATGGGAAATTCCCAACAATACAAAACCCGAGCTTACTCACACACACACATAAACTTCTGCTACACATTTTATTGGAATCATTTGTTCTTCTGGGATACATGCAGCAATCGAGTGTACAAATCTATTTTCCGTTGTAAAATCGTGGTAATACCAATGAGTGGAAAACCAACAAACTATAAAGCAGCTCCAGGTGTGCACCCAAAGGATGAAAGATATGCACAGTCGTGTTCAGTAGTTTTGTGTCTGGCAGTCTATGGGAGAAAATCGCGCTTCTCAGGCATAGAAAACGTGTTGACAGCATCTCAAAATCAAATTGTTTTCGACCTATTCACATGAAGAACGTCACATTATTTACTTGCGTTTGCGATCTGCTGTTCATGAATAAGTTGAGCACTGAGAAAAATGTGAATTTTCGAATTGCCCCACGTTTTACCCGTCGAATAGCTATGTACCATTTCGCAGTGGCATTGCCTTCGTTCTTTCGGGTGTGAGCAACAATCAATGATTTATTTTTCTCACGTCTGTCCGGTTTTCCGTTTTTTTCAATCTCATACCCGGCTCTATCCTGCTCACGCAGTTACGACACAGTGAAGGTCGAGGAGGAAGAGGCACCTGCTGCACCGACGTTCGATATTCTACCGGTGGCGTTGACTGTGACTGAGGGATCGCCCGCTCGTTTTATGGTCAAAGCAGGTGGTTTTCCACGCCCCAAAGTTCAATGGTACATTGATGGAGAGTTGCTGGCTTCGGTGAGTAGTCTGAATTTCTTCACATTCGGTACCAGTAAAAATACTGTCAATCTCTCTCACAACATCCCACTATGGATGCACTGGTGCATCCAGAATGTGCTAGTATCAATTCGACAATATTTGTCCGCAATGGAGGATCTAGTAATTCACCTTTTGCTTTGAAGCTATTCCATCGCAGCACATGTCACAAATATTTTTAATTTCAATTACTGCAAGGATTTTATTGTGAGTATATGAACCCCAGGGGTAAATAAATTGATTCGGAATTCATTTTGTTCCGTTTCCTCACATCCACAGATTACTGTTCAGTTCTCTTGAGTTGATCCGTTGATTTATTTGTCGGTTGCATTGATAGTTAAAGAAAAGTTCATAAATTGTTTCTTAGCGCATAGATGGGTAATGTGTGGATTGCACGTATTTCCTTTGTAAATAAGAAACGAACGATGATGACGTGAAATGCCTTTCCCTGGATCGTGCAAATCAGACTGAAATATTTATTGAAGAAAAAAGGCTAAATATAAGCACAAAATCTTGGTTTCTGTGCTTTACCTATCAGTTAGTAAAACGTATTTCGAATTACACGTATTTGAGACTGAATAATCACATTCTACTTCGATGGCTGAATATTTTTGTCACTTTGATTATCACACGTACGTGTTAGTTAAAGTTATCGGAAAATTTTGTCCGCTGATCATATGATCAAAATCAATCCGCTATTCATTTCGTGTTGTTTTATTACATGTTGCTAGCTGATGATAGAAACAAAGCTTCAATCGAAAATGATGGGTGGTATAATCTCCGATGGTGTATACTGATAGACAACGGATAGTTTATGCATTTGCTTGAACCGATACCTATTTTTGTAGTCAGATTATTTGTTTGTCCATTTACTCGCTTGAATTTTTCGGTAGTCCAGATTTTAGCTCTTAGACTGCCAGTTTTCATAACCAAATAGTGATTTTTGAAAACGAGCACTTTTTAAATCGTTTATCACACAAATGACTGTCCTAAAACAGGATTCGGGGGTGGGGCGTTCAATTTCGTTTTCTGTTCCCAACAGGGACAAACAGTAGCAGCCGCTATGTCTTGGGAGAAACTCAGCTGCATCAGGAATAGCCTGCACAGTTAAGTGCATAGCGCAGTTTAGCAGCAAAAGGCAGCGTTCTAGCAACTTCATTTGTGCTGTAGAAGTTAGGGAACTGGTGAATTTCAAGTCAATGTTGCAACGGACATCTCAGAGAATCCGTGCACTGTAGGCACGCAGATGGAGGGAAGGATATTTGCTATTTATTTGTACGAATCGTAAATTCCATTACCGAATGGCATTCATTTTTCCGAACAGGATCGGATGCGAAACGAGTGTGTAGGGTGGAGTAACACTAGGGTACGCGAAAAGAGCACCGTGTCCCTAATGTGGGACTATTGATTAGAACACAAATGTCACACTATCACATCGGTCATTGATTGGCCCATCGCAGAGTGCGTAGGTTTCATTCGGCTTCGACGTATAAACAAAAACTGGGTTGTCTCTGTGGTTCGGTATCTCTAGGGTATTATGTCGTTCCGTGATTGGTTCGTTGAATGAAAGAATTCAGACGAACGAACGGTATTCAATCGATAAAGAGGGAGTAAATCAATTCTTGTTTTATCGATTCATTGTGACCCTGGGTCATAGTGGTAATGCTACCTGCTCCCGAAAATCGTACACAACTATTTGTTGTGCTAAATTTCGTGTTAGATGGCAGTGGTCCCGCAGTGATTGTATTTCATCACCACAACAACGTGCAGGTCGTATGTCCGATTCTTTACCCCCGCTGAGCTTTAACTTCCATTTCAGCGTGTCTCCAGGATAATGCGTAGCAGACTTTCTGGATAAACACCGTACCGAATAATAATAATAATAATAATAATAATAATAATAATAATAATAACAATAACAATAACAATAAGGATGATAATAATAAGGTAACAAAAATAATGATAAGATTATGGATATATATTCAACTTCAAACAATACACTATAATTTTCCAGTAAGATCCGGCCCATGCCAATCTATAGTTATGAGTCATGTCATTGTTTAGGTCACTAGTACCCTAGACGTGACTGCATTAAATGTCCAACAGAAAAAATGTCAGTTGTTTAGGTACCCAGGAGCATTGACTACAAACTACAAGTGATACGTAAACATACTGTTTTTCACAATCGGTGCCTCTTTATGCTCGGTTTTTTTCATGTTCAAACCGTTTCCAAATAGGTTCAGCAAGAATTTATTTCTCACCTACGACAACTAGCAGTTTTCGAATGGAAACCCGATTAAATTGTCCTTTTTAAGGAAATTTTCATCAAGGATAACCAAAATTCTCAAGAGAAAGGGTCGGAGTTGGTGAAGAATACGCACGCACCAGAGATCTGTTCGTGTTGTTTGGTGTTTCAGATCTCGAACTGGGTCCATCCCGTGAACAGCGAACCTAATACAAACACGCCTATTCTAACTGTCAATGAGTTTATCTGTCCGCTCGGTTGCACATCGTCTGCGATGTGGCAAACACTGAATTGACAAGGAAAATGAACATTATTTTATCGATCAAGGAGGCCAATATATACATACCAATGGTACAGTCTGCTGCTCGAAATAGTCGACCACGTTGACCTGTGAGCCGTATGTGTTTGATTGTTCGAGTCTTAAAAATCTCGCCCAATCTTTCTCCGTTTCGTGCAGTTCCTGGAAAAGCGATGCTGTAACTTTCGCGTTTATAAAATAAAGTAGACCAATGAAAAAGAGGACAGTAAACAGATAATTCAAACTGATTATTTACCCTCAGCACTGCTTATTCTTGACAGGGAATCAAACCTACGACAGAAAGAACGGAACACATTCTCGTTACCAATTCGACAAGGAAGGGAATAATTTCCACTGTCTGCAGAGAGTTTAAGGTCAGTAATCAGAGGCATGTCTCTGATTATTGACCTTGAACCTAGCCAATGGTTTTCATTCTGTAAACACTTTTTCACTATATGATATGTTGGAGCAAGACTGGAATATCAGAAGACAACTGTTTGCTCACCTTCTAGTTGACAGAAGTTGGCGACTTTGTACCTAACTCCATATGCGAATTGATTTTGGAACACGTAATTCACTACACACCAGGCCAATTCCACAAATATGCAATAAAAAAATTAGAAGCAAATTTCGTCTGTTTCCTGAGTATATCGTCCTCATAAATGTTCATGTAAATGAGAAAACGGATATTTTCCTTATTTCATCGGCTTGTCCCATGTTCTGCAGGAACATGCCCTGAATCGGAGCAATCAAAATATTGGTCGAGGAAGACCTGTTCACATGCTATTATGTTTTATTCTTTTGTGCTCTAGACTGGAGGAGGTGGAAACTGGCGCATCTATCAAGACGGTGGTATTAGCCATTTGGAATTCCATCGCGTTGGCAATCCGTGCACCCAACAAATTCGAGCTGTGGCCAAGAACAATTTGGGCGAAGCTGCGGTGGACACTGTATTAGTGATTGAACCACAGGCAGACTTTAGACCGGACCTGCGACATGTTGAACCGGGTAAATTTATATGGGTGTTTGGTAATAACGTATTCAGCGTACCAGGAAGTATTGTGATAAGACAAGTAGACACTTTTAGCCGTTTATGCATTGGATGGGCTTATACAAACTAATTTGTGGTAGAATGAAGGTATTTATTCGAAGTCAAAAGGAAAGTTGGCTTCTAAACTGGGAGTTGCTATAAACCTGTCTTAAAGTTTATCCGTTCAGGCTCCGTGTGTGATTTCCACAACCTCACGCAGGATCAAATCTCTCATTTAGATCACAAGCTTATAGCCCACGTGACACTCGGTAGTTCTTTATCGGACTAGATGATTTGCGAAAACGACAATTTTATTCGTTATTTTATAAATCAACAAGCTACCTATAACACGGAGATTCACACTTTTGTCTTATTCCATAAAATGTTGACCTTTTAAATTCCAGGGAATGCATGCATTAAAACTTTCTCTGTCTCTGAATTTTTCGCTCTTCTTCAGAGAATCCATTCAGGAAACTGGCTCAACTCAAAAAAGTGGAACGGTCCAACGAGTTGTCGAGTGCTTTCAATCGGCCAAGACCCCAGGCTTTGGATCTGCGCCGTATAGAGAGAGGTACGATGGTTCTCTCTGAACGCCTATAGCATATCCCAGCTTGTTTTCGTATTATGACCAATCTAATAACAGACTCAATTCCATTATCAATGTTTGCTACTGACCGCATTTCAGTAGACAAAGGTATACCTTTGATTTTTCGAGAGCTGACCTTAATCCGCAAACCACAGAGGCTTACTTGGACGTACGTTTGTCTTGCGGCTGATACTTCTCGTGTTTTGGTGGTTGAATGCTCCATTTATAACTTAAACCTAACTATAATATGAGTTTCGTTCAAAGATTTCCGCCCCCGAAATGTTTCAGTGTTTCATTGATTTTTTTCGAAAAAGGAAGTATTCATTCTCTTCAGACGTTAACCGTACTCTGCAGACGCATAACCACGAGTTGAAATCGACGTCTCTTACTTTTGTATCACACAGTTACATATATATATTCTTTTCAATTCAATTGTGATAAAAATGAATACTTGGCAAATCCAATTCTATTAACTTCTTTTGAGCACTCATGGCTGATATTCTCTTGTTCAGAAAACGAATTCAAAGCACGAAGCGCTGCCGAGGCTGAATCGATTGAAGCCGAAAACTTGTACACACGTGTTCAGGCACAGCTTCGCACCAGTAGACGTTCAAGCCAACCGCCCCCAACACCTCCACCGCAACGGCAAGTGAGCGCAGTTACCGTGATTCCGGCACAAGCTCCACGACCAGTAGCTCCGCCGCAAGTAAGTGTGCTTTTTGTTCGCTTCGATAATTTCCAGTCCTTCACGGACGACAACAACGCTGGACACGATATTGCAAATATCTTCGCTGATTTTTCGTGTGCTATCAAAGTAACAAATAATTTTGAATAGATAACAACGAATCCTACTGGATAAAAGAATACTCAGAGTACCAAGTTCACCTTCATAAAATTTCATTTATTTCGTGTGATATAAAATTTAAATAAACGGAATTTTTTTAATGGAACTCGTTAAATGAGATGTCCCAAATATAAGTGATAGAGACATTTCCCATCCATTTATGTCAACGAATTCGACTTGTCCTGAGGAATGAGTTTGCCAATAAAACAGACTAAGAAGTAATGAAATTTTATGAAACGTTTTAAATAGTCAAATTGAAGTTAACCGATGCACACCACGCACAAGTCGACCGGCTGAATTGAAAAGAGTGACTTGTTTCAGTTGCTGAGGGACATCAGATCTTCAGAAGAACATTGGTTATATAATTTTTACCGCAGATTTCCCCTCCATACTAACTTATCAGGCTGATAGATTTACCAGCTGTACAAGATTTTGAACACGGTGAACTTAATGGTGTCTGCTCGGAACTCATTCTGATAAGCAATTCGAGGTGATGGGCGTTTACCAAAATTTGGTTTCGCTTACAGACATGCTTTACGTTTGAAATAATAATGGCGTGCACATTTACGTACTGGACTGAAAAAGAACGCACGACAGCATATTTGATCACAAAGGTATTTCGCTGCTAAAGGGACACTAAGAGAGCGTGTAATTTGTTTACTAGAATGCCACGTATCGGTACTATTGCCATTATTAGCTCAACAGTGTTCTGATGCCTGCCAGAGAAACCTCGCTTGAGGATTCTTTTTCTTTGATTTTATAATTTACTGTTGCTTTTGTTATACACGTTTATGAGCTGTTGATGGAGTTAAACGGAAATCAATCATGGATGTATTTCTAAATATACCTAAAATTGTCATACTTGTCCGTCAATTCCATCAAAGCAGCAGGCGCAACCACCACGACCACAGCCAGCACCGCAACCGCCACGACAGCAAGCGCCACCGCCGCCACCACCACCACAGCAACAGGCTCCACGACCACCACCTCCACAACCAGTGCAAGCCCCACCACCACCAAAAGCGGAACCAGCACCACCACCACCACCGCCACCACCACAGCCAGTGATGATGGGCCAAGTAAGGATTGAACCTTTTGTTTAATTTTTGATTGTATCCTCAAGTGAACGATATCAGAACAGAACCCGTGCGACTTGCTTGCTCACGAAAATAGTGAATTTATCTAATACGTTTCAATACTTAAATATATTCGTTGAATACCCATCAGTCAACTGGTTTATAGGCGGTCTCTGAGAGAATCCCTACGATTTCCGGCACTGTTCATAGCTCGAGACTGTAACAAGACACAAACCTGAAGGCAATTTTTTTCAGTGAATTTTTCTATAATTTCATCATATTCTTGGAACGTCATGCATGATTTAATGCTTTGTTCTTGATTTACGACATCAGGGCAAACCACGGTTTCAAATAGGTTTCTCTGGTGTTTGTCAACCACCAAACGGATACGCGTTATCAGATGGAAAAAACGTTCCCCCAGGAATAGTTTCCTCAAATGACTTGAAGCTGTTGTCTAGTCCCTACTAAAAACTGCAGGAGCCGTATGTTTTTCTCAGGCCTGTATGCCCAAGGAATGAGACTCACCCGATCGACAGGCAAATATAGCAATCCAGGGCAATTCAACATGTATATAATGCATATACTTGAATGGACTAGACTAGACATGGGTTTTCAGGCAACTTGCCAGGACATAGTTAAACGGTAAGCGCAATGAAAGGAATATCCATGGCGTGTATTTACCCTGTCAGATGAATCATTTGAACTACATCGTTCACATGGTCAGTGCTAGACCAGGACCGGTTGAATCGTTTTGCGGTTTACGTACCTACTGTTAATGGATTTGATTTCGACCCCCTCCCTCGCTACGTGGCCTCAGCATGCATACACGACTGATTAGAATCACTTTGTAATGATGTGAACTGTAATTCGAAGGATGATTTGATGGTATATTCCCTATTGAATAACTACCACACATATTGCTTCGTCGTCTATCTGTCTATCTGTTTGTTGTGATTTGATCGCTGATCTGATTGGGCGTCTCTCGTTATAAGGTAAGTTTGATCGATAGCGGTTCCACAATTGGATGACTACCAATGCCATGCTCAAACAGAATATCAGTTAACTTATTGATAATCAGAGTGAATAGCGGGAGGACTCAAATCATGATAACAGTAGACTAAGTCTGGTTTTCACTCACAAGCACAATTTTGTGCCAACTATTAAACCGTAGCTGTTATCTGTAAAACATCACCGAATCAGTCGACTTGTGCAGCCGCAGCAGCTGATTTTCCTCAATCCAACTATGATCACTGTTCATATTATCACTGCCTCTCTCATAGCCAAATCCAGAGAATCTTACCGATCAGATGTGAACGCGTGGCAGGTAAGCTCTGTACGGCTGTGTCTGTCCCGAACCGAATTGCTCGCCCACCACACACACACACACCGTACATAGACGGACGTGAGCATAGTTGCCAAACCGTGTGTATTCACGCGCGCGCACACACACACACACAAAAAGTAGTTTGATCCCATTTATTTTCCGTCTCTCTGTGGGCGTGCCTGTTTGACTGGTCTGACTGTCTTTCCCCCTCCGTGTCTACCTGACTATCTTCAGCACCGAGCTAATTCCATTTTGACTATAAATGGCCCTTGTGTGTGATTGCGTGGGCGTGTTTGTGTGTGTGTATCTGTACTGTAAAGATGCATGCTTAGATTTCCTTTTCCGTTCAACAGAATTTCAATAGTACTAACAACAAACGCGTAAATTTTCATCTGTGTGAGAGAGTAAGATGTGTGTAATGGTTTTTTTCAGTTAATTGTCACTAGATTAGTACCCTATTTTGAGCATGCACACAAATTTCGTGAGATTTGTCATTGTTTTCACTTTCAGTGTGTGCGGGTTTGTGTGTGCATTTTGCTTCCACCGAACCGTTACTCATCTGTCTTCTCTCTATCTCTCCATATATATGTATATTTGTGTGTGCATTCTTTCGAACTTGCTTTGATTAATCTTATTCCTAAAGGATTTAGAGCGCGAAACACGAGAAGGTTAATGTTCACGTGTCTCTCCGACGGAATCGATCTAGTACCAAGTATGCTGTCTGGAGACGGCGAACAACAGTAATTGTTGAAGGGAAGCAGATATCGCTTGCTTTAGGACAGGGGTCGAAATTCTAATATTTTCACGGAAAATTGTGGGGAAAATGCAAACACGCAGCCCAATAAGTTTTTTAGTTCATATGAAGACTCTCCTGTTTGAACTATCTTGAAACTTGAAGTTTTCTTTCAAGCCGTGCGAAATACAATCAGGTGGGCAAACAAAAGCTGTTTTCACATCAAAATCCTCTATATATGGCGGATATGTTACAAAGAAAACGTGTATGAGGAAGGAAAAAAATTTGGATGGAGATAAGAGGAAATTATTTGCACTCATCATTTAAGCACAGTTGTTCAGATGTTCAGTCTATATCGATATATGTGCAGATCAACACAAATTAAGGAAATAGTGGCCCAGTGGGAGAAAACTGGTTTGCAGTACTATCATGGATGTTAATTCTATGATCTCTAACTTATCGTTGTATTTTATTTCAGATGTCGTCTCAATCGGGAGCACAACAGGCCGAACTGTCGCACGATGAAGTCAGTGCAGAATTCACCATTCAGCTATAAGCGGGAGCTCGCTCCTTATACTTGAACAATATCGCCGTATCTGAAATCGTACAAAAATAAATATACGCAAGCCCATCCTACGTGGAAAGCCAATTCGGTCTGATAACATTCTTTTGTCTAATTACCTGTCTATCCATCCGTCCGTCTACCACTCACCTACTCCGTCTGCTTTCACAAGTGTGCCTTAGCGATACTTTCATTTTTCGTCACTCTTTATCTGTTCTGTCAATTGAGACCTCCCAAATAATCCTCAATTATTTCGTTTTCCAATAACTATCATGCATTTAGACAGAGAACACGGATTCTCGCCCCACCCCTGCTCGATCCTCCAATTTGACCTCAAATTATAAATAATCCAGCTGTTTCTTCATAGGGCTTCAGACTGGTTGGGAAAGTAACTTCAACTGACTACAACTGACAGGCCGGTGTACACGCCTCAATGTACCACAGTGCCCTCTCGGGTGATTCTCGTGTTTTCTGGTCCATCTATAAATGCACTCAATGGAGGAAAGATTCACATTGAGGAACTACACAACAATGGGCGGTTCTTCGATATTTTCATTTATTTCTGATAGAACATCGAAGCACCATTGTTAACAAAACTGATGATCATGTAGTGTGAAGAGTTGAGCTGAGAACAGGTACCCAGTGTGAAAACTGCTCCAATTTTGTGAAGTCTATTCTTGTATTTGCACTACAGGTCGTCAACAGTAGTCTGAAAACCAAAATATTTATCAATTTGGAAAACTAAACCCAATCTGTTGCACCTCATCTCCACCAGCACCCAACCCCCAATCACCAGTACTTTACATTTTACTTGGGGAACGTCCTTAAAACGAATGCTAAAATTAACCAATTTTTTGTGTGGCGTTCTCTCGAGCTATGCCCGTTTTTGTCCAGTCCAATGTTCGCCATGTGCCTTTTCCCTCAGAGCCTGACTGGGCTCGCTTCGAGATAGACTGAAGTGCACCAAAACAGTGGATTCAAACAACATCTGTGCCACCGCTCGTCTACCAATCACCGATCGCTTGTTCAATGACTTCTTCGACCGGATAGCCTAACCCCGCCTCATACTTAAACGCTTCCGCCTTTGCTATAAACCTTGCCGGCTTCACACAATCACACAGTACAATTTCTCCTCTTGTCCCCATCTATCTCTTTCTTTCACACCTTGCACTGCCACGCTTAAATTTTCACCTTCAATCATGCAGAAAATTGAAAAACAAATTATGCATGATTGCCCCCCCCTCCCACTCACATGTCGGGATGATGTTGATTTCTCTCCCTCATGTGACTTGTTCAAACTATAGAAACAAACCTATTTAGCTATTTAGCACAATCGGCCGAAAATACATTTTTGCCAGAATCATGTTCTGTGTCCTGATGACGTCATTATAGTTTCATAATTCATTTCACTCGAGATTTCAAGAATTAACAAACTATACGAACTGATAATCATCTGGTTACGTGATAGCGTTCTCTGCGTTTATGGGTATTGACCATGTTGCGACTTCTGTATGATCAAGCGTGGGTTTGATTTTAGGCGTTCTCGATCGTGAATCGGACGGTGTGGATGAAATAAACGATGCCCTTTCCTAATCTCTAGAATCTCCATAGACGTGAGTCAACTGTCGGAGTAAACATGTCAAGTCACAAATTGCTTTGTTCATTTCACCGGATGGATATTCGCTAATAAGTTCACAATTTTGTAACATGCAGTAAGGTTCAAGGATTCAATTGCAATTGAAATGTTTGTGATAACCGACAAGATCATCAAGAGTGCTTGGTGCCTCTGAGCAATCGAATGGACTAGTCCATGCTTGATGCTTTAAATTGATTGGGCCACAAGGTGATAACCGTCGACCGTGTAGCTCAGGGCTAAGGGTTTTAACTCCCGACTCGAACGTTCGCGGTTCGATTCCTGTCAGGGAAACAAAAAGTACGTACTGCTGACGAGTCCCAAACAGGACGAAACAGCTGTCCAGTTCCTTTTGTCGGTCATCACAGACATTTCCATTGCATTTTAGTCCATTGACCTCGTGTGGAATAAACGATCTCCCAAGGAGTGAAACCCATACCCAAGACCATCAAGAGTGTTTAGTGCCTCTCAGCAATCGAATGGACTAATCCAAGGTTGATACTCTAAAAGGTTCAAAGATGTTCTGGAATATTCTCGTCATATTTCCCTGTATTAAAATAGAGCTATGAGAAAGGCTTTTATTGGTATCTGGAGTTATTGCATCATCTAATGCATAGTGAATGGAGGCCTGACTGAACGGAAGTGCTATTGATTAACACACGGGAAGCAATGAAACCCGTCCAGACAAATAGAGGTACACTGGACTTCTGCTATCGCCTTTCTATTATTTGCATCGCCGAGGTTCAATTAGCCCAACAGTAAAGCTGCAAAATCACCCAAGTTGTGTGTTAAACGTTTGTGTTGCTTTGATTTGACGTGTGCCGTATGTTCGGAGCAAATGTCACTGAAAAAACCACATAGGCGAAGGTTTTATTGAGACCCTTGTTTTAACTTGGCTTTTTAGTATCTAATCACAGAGTAAGAAAAAGTATTAGGTCTTACATTAACATTGACAAATTGTAATCAGTTCATTGAAGTTATAACATAATCGGATGGACTTGTATTGATTAGTTCTGTTAACCAATGCTTGATTTGTCATGCTACGGTAATCTCAGTCTGTGAAAAAATCACTTTCGTTGGACTAGTTGCAAATAGCTACTGTTCAGTTGAGCCACAAGTAAACAGTTGATCGTGAGTGATAACGATAGAGGGATCGCGGAAATTGTGGTAGAAAAGAGAACAGTGTAGGTTAGCGGCCTCGGCAAAAACATGGATGAGATTATCAGTTAGGGATAACTCATAGACTATGAAGAGAAGGAAATGGGAGGGAATAGCAACGAACATTGTTGGACGCCGAGATAAACTAAGATTACCCTCGAACTGATCGAGACTGAGCGGTCACATAGTGCATTTCGTATCCAATAGATAGAAAAGGAGTACAGTTCATAATTGGAAAGCTTCTGTAGCAACCAGTTATGCTTGGGGATAGTGAGGGAGAACGGATAGTACTGGCCACGGGGACTAATAGCTGAGGACTAAATATATGACTTTAGGCCCACAAATCTCCAGTGGATCTGTAGCAGTAGAAGTTATTTGGGCGATCGTTGAGAATTTCCTGCCAATCCCAGTTGAAGTGAAGGTGTTCGCCCTCATTAGTTTCGGGACCTTAGAGCAGTTCAATATGAGGGAGATAGGGTGGTTACTGTTAGGATCACAGATACACCCCAAATAACAATCGAAAGACATGGATAGCTTTTCAACCTCTAGCAGACAGGCTTTTGGAAAGAGATTCGCAAAAATGATGAATGAATGTACGGTAGAGATTAAAAGAGAAGGGGAGACGAATACCTCCGCCTTTTGCGAGGTATCCAGGACCAAATCACCAGAAGCTTTATCAGTTAGGGCAGAAATTACAAGTAATCGCTTCGGTAAGGGACTAAAATGAGCGGCAATAAACGAATTTCTGTTTCACATTGTGAATTCTTGCGAGCACTTGCGCCGGGCTTACATATAACAGGCGTGAGAAGGATTTAGAGACAAATACCAGTGGAGAAAATATTTCCGTTTTCGCTCGAACTATGTAGCAAAAGGCTTTTGTAAATGATCCAGATAAGTTTAGTTCCTAAACATTGGGAAATAATCATGTACATATCTTGGGAACTATTCTTCATAACCTTCGTTGTTGAAATGAAGCCGGGTGGAAGAAAAGGTCTTTTCGCTCTAGGGATTGCCCAACAGGAAGTCAAGGTGGTCAATCCACTCCGCAAACATATAATGTCAGAAGGTGGAGCGGAAAAACAGAGATTAGATGAGAGATGTTGCGTGCAAATCAAAGATGATAATTCAGAGATCTGATAAGCGAAGAGAGGGAGATGGATATTACTTCTAGAAAGGAGAACGGAAATTATTAACAATTCAACGGTATGAACGTGCTTCTCTGTGCAACCAGAGACAGGTGGTGTACGATGACCAGCAGCTATAGGTTGTTCACTGTAGTGAACGTTTCCGCTTAGCAAACCATAGCTGTGATCTTCACGTAATGTGCTAACCGATGTTACCATTGATATAACATCTAATGTCGATCTCGGCGCATGAGGCTGCCTGCAAAATAGTTCAACTGAAACAGAAGATCAAAAACGGAACAGTTAAAACTGTTGAGAAAACGATACGGAAGTTAGAAGTAGTAGTAGAACTGAAGCTCGTAACTTGAAACTTCAAAATCAGATTAAGGAGTTGATGATGCTGAATGTTGAACCAACACATTTATACCGGTTTTGAACAGGAAAGCCGAATAAAGTGAACAGGGAAAGAATAGTGGGTGTACAACCGCTTGCAGAAGCTGGTTGAGTCCCAGATGGGTAAAAAATGGGGGAAATAGATTCAACGTAGTGCTGTATAGAATCAATAATGCAATTAAACCCGCGAATATTAGTGAAAGAAATTTGTGAACCCCAGAGAGTAAGCCTGTGAAAAATATACTCCTTATTGCCTAGGTATGGCATACGTGGTTATTTTTGAGAAACCCACAATAGGGACCTTGGCAAACAAATAAGAAACCAGTGGTATTGTTCCGGCTGATGGCACAGCTGTCTACCACTTAAGAAGGCAATTGGTGTTACTTTATTTAATACACTTTACCTTAATTATCAGTACTTCATTAGCATCTGTCTTTGTCCATTTTAGAAACCTTTTCCTTGAACTGGATTTTATCTAATTTAACCATAAATATAGTTGATAGAAATGTAGAATTTATTATCGGTCAGTATACTCGATGAAACACAGTTCCACTATAAGGGAACATAATATTCATTGTGCAGCGATAAATGTATTCATCAAAACTTTCGATTCTCCCACATGTAATCAAAAAGCCAGGTAACCATAACCTAGTATAAAACTCGTTTTCTTGGTAATGTTCAGATAT